TCCGACGAGCTGTTCGACTACATCCAACCGGAAGGTCAACAACATGTTGCTTCAATTCCGCATACCCCAGCAGAAACCGATCAGTGGAGAAGGAAAGCCGAAAGAATCGAATCATATTATAGTAGAAGATTAGGAATGATTGTTGGCGACGTCGAGTCGATTGTGCACGTTCAAATGCTCAAGGGGTTGATGAAAACTGACTCCGGCGCTACCATTAAAGAATTTGCGGATATCCCGGGTGTCGAAACAGAATATGCAGCTCAGCTAGTGGTTGATCATGTCTTCAGCGAAGATGTTCGTTTCATCGAGCGCACTGCATTGCCAATTGAGGAAGAGTTTCCCGAAGGCTCACGAGCTTTCTTCTTAGGAGAATATAACTACGGATCGCCTGTGCACATCACGGGCCATGAAGGAGAAAAATTGTCTGGTCTTGTCGCTGTTGTCAAAGGCAAAGAACCCGAATTTGGCAGAGAACACGTATACAACGCTGAAAAATTATCACGATATACTCCCGCGTTTCAAATAGCTCGAAATTTACACCTAAACCCACTAACTCTAGCAAAGATCACCTCTGCCTTCACTGTTGTGATTGATGGTCAGAGGGTGAATCTAGGGTTGAATCTCAAATTTCAAGCAAAGAAACTTAAGGTTCTTGGATACTCTCGCCGTGGGCCTACCGGATGGGAATTTAGTGACAAGGCAGTTGGTCTTCTCCAAGAATACATGATACAATTCCCGGATTTTATTGCAGGAATTCAACGGAATCCACAGGGTGATATATTTCAACCAACTGACTTTTACCCAGAAGAAATTGCGGACGAAAAGTTTAAAGAAATCAAAGCCTGGTTAAAGTCTATCGAGTCCAAAAATTTTGAGCGTGTCCCATTGGAAGCAGAACAATTGGATTCCAGTGCGGTGGAGGTCATCGAAAAGACGGCAAACGAACTATTAGCAAAACGGCCTGACCCAGTGGCTCAGAAGCTCAGAGGTGTTCCACGCAACGCCTTACTAAAACCGGAAGATGCAGAGCATCAGCTAAATGGTCAATCGTTTGTCCTCGGTGATCGTGTGATCTATGCATTAGGTTCCGGCAAAGTACCTATCGCCACTCGAGGCACGGTTGTAGGGATAACTCGCACATCAAGAAATCTCCTACTAGATGTGCTGTTTGATCTCCCCTTCATGAGTGGCACAACACTCTCCGATCGTTGTTCCCCCTTTCGTGGCTCAACTGTCCCCTCATCGGCTGTTCTGAATTTATCGAACAAGCAACTGATTGCTGCTTCACGTGCGGCGGCAGACCAAAGCAGAGAATCAAGGGAGCAACAAAACACCCGGGGAAAGCCCAATGGCGTTCCTTATGGCTTGGGCGGACCTATTCTATCAAAGAATGGGCCTGGGCCAAACCAACCACCTCCACAACGGAATAGCTATCGAGGTGCGCTTGTTGGCCAACAATCCAGAAATGGATCACCATGGACGCCAGGTAGCCGTGGCCGGGGCCAAATGAACCTACCTTTCCGTAGCCACTCGGACCAAAACACCCAAGCACCCCAGTCAGCCGAGGGTTCTAGGGGAAGAGGGGGTCGGGGGAATCATTATCAAGCTTCTGGGCGCAGTGGAATTGCACCCCGGGGTCGCGGAAGAGGCAACGCATATGTATCAGTTGACCAGGCGGACCAAACGCCCTTGAGCCACAATCCGAGTTTCCAGCCCCGACCATACAATACTGTCCCACCACCCGACTCATTGAACCAGCCTGCTTCGCATCGAGGCCGGGGATCCCATAACGGCCGATTCGCCCCTCGCGGTAGAGGAAGAGGGGCGAATCGGGCCAGGGGTTGAGCAAAGGCTCTGTGAAAGTACCTGGTTTAATTTTTAATTTTTTTTTCATGTTTTTACCATTACCTCCCTCCTTGTGTCCGCGATCTCCTGTGTTGATCTAACTTTGTGATAAACTTATACTACGGGAGCTTCCGCAATTTCGGTATTGAACGGCTGCGGAGGCCATTGGCATAGAAGTATGGCCGACATGCAGGGGGTTTAACGAATGATATGTAACAGAGTGCTGTTGGGCAAATGCGTGATGATCGACCTTTCCGAAAAACTCTTTGCGGTGAACGATGGTACTCGTTTCATCTTCTATGGTGGTCATGCCTACTTCCTATGTACAGATATCGAATATAATCTTAGAAACCTGAACCTTGAACTAGTAGAAACATGAATCCTGAGCCTTAAAAGCTACCAGAAATCTTGTAATTAGTGCCTTTTTTGTAGTCAACAAACCCAGAGTGACTGACTGTTCGGTTGACTCCACAGTGACAGACTATAACGCGATCAGTTGCGAGATCCGACCGAACAATGATGTTATAATCATTCATTTCGGATCCTTGCTGCATTTAAACACATACGAACCAGGGGAATTCCCAGGAGAATGAATGAATCCCTTTGCGCCTGTGAAACGGAAAATTTAGGAACACCGTGGAGACCTGTTATCATCACTCCGTAATGTAACCTTTGCGTTCCTGTTATCAACTGAGTCATTTGAACGCGTACTTGAAGAAAATGGTAGCACTCCCACCGATAAGCACAGAATTTTCTCAAGGAGCTCCGAAGGTTCTGCTCTATCAGAACGCAAAATAACCTTTATTGGTTTTCCTGGAGAGTTCAATTCTCTCGTGCCGTGGATCAGCCACTGATCCCAAGATTCGCTGCCTAGTTATTTTACATCGCAGAACAATCCGACAAGATGATCATGCAACTTGTCGTGGGGGTCTCCAGGTTCTATTTCCGAGTTCTGTTTGTTCATTGGCTTCGGATACGCCATTAGTATCACAGCAGTTTGACAGCGCAGCAAGCGTCAATAGCGCTATTATTCTCCACGAATGGTCTCTCGGACAGTTAACCCGAATCCATTCCCCTTCTCGTTTTCTTCCCCAATCTCGATTTACCCCTTTGATCTGTTCAAGTTCGGATATTCTATGACTGGCCGATTGTCAAGCAAGTCCCATTTTATCCCAAAACGTATCCCAAGCCTCCGGGGCTTGCCAGCTGCAGTGAAAAGCAATACCAACACACGCTGCCTAGGCGGAAATTCCTATTTGTTGTGCCGGGCTTGTCTTTCTTGCTGCCAATACGCGCTGATATCCATTGTCCTCATGATGGCGTCCCAGAGCTGTCGGTTCTCCGCTCATGTGCTTTTCATGGTATGCCCAACCACCAGAGTTTAACTATATGGCTAGCTATCCACTTCCAACTAGCTTCTTTCTTCTTTCTTTTGGTCCTTACTGCATTCCTAGCCTGCGTACGTGGAGAAATTTACATATCTTGAATGGTGCTTTCAAGACGTACAATAATAACTTAACAGCTGACCATGTCGAGATATCTAGGATGAGCCTCTAGTGTTAATCCATATTCCAATCAGCTTTTATCCCTTTTTTATCCACCCCATTTTACAACTACTGTTCCATGATGTCTCTCCAATTGATAGCGGAGGCAAGTTTACTGGTAGCATTGAGACCGATTTTCTCAACATATCCATCACCCCAGTCGAGTGCTCGATAACGTGTTCTCGAACCCTAGCAACCCTGTACTTTGTTCCAATGGTGGATAAATTCAGGCAGATTGCCGCTCCAATGGGTAAATCCATTGATATAAGCGAAGAAGAGTTTCTAGCAATGCAAGTAGAAGGGCAGGGTCTTGATGCTGGGCAACGTGTCGTGGAGCTTACCAGTCCGTTAGCTATGGCAGGAATGTAAGTCATAATATTTCCACAGGAATTGTTTGATGATTCATGCCCATACCCTTGAAACTGATACTAACTGGAGGTTGTCGGTATAAAGTTCTATATTTTTTATATCCACCTATTTTACAGACTATGTTCTCGTACCCAAATCCTCAAAGACTGAAGTTATAGAAACATTGCTAGAACGAGGTTTCAATGTTGACCAGTTCACGGGTACCATCTCAGAAGAGTCGTCGTCCCAGTTCAACTCATCAATATCTTCCCCGGAAAGCCTGGCAGAGCTTCAAGCCCGTACCCTGATGACACTCCATGACCATGATATCCAACCACAGGTCGATATGACATTACGCCTTGTTCAATGCGCGGCCCACTATAGAGAGTTCACGGGAACGAAAACCTATGCTATTCTTAGACCTAATCTAGTTGCGTCTCTACTCCAGGATAACCCTCGGTTCTTCTCTTTGACCGTTGCAGCTACTGATCCGGCCCCTTCTCTGCTTCTGGAAAAACGGCTCCTCTCGAGGTTTTTGCTATACCAGCCTGAAGAGCAGAACTCCCCTTCATCATCCGAAGAAGATGCGAACCTGCTACTAGGGTCCAAAGAGGATACTTTTATCGCTATTACATTGGATCTACAAGATCTTTCCTTCGAAGCAGCAGGAATTGTTGCTGGGGTTGCTAGTACACTAGCCGCAGATCCTGCTAGTAAAGAGAATGTAGGCACGAAGGAGACAAATAACCATGTAAGTTCATATATGACAGCCACACAATTTGGTAGCTAAACATCTGCATCAATGCGATTCCATGACTAACTAATAATACCACACTATCAGAACCTAGAACTCGGCTTTTTAAGTACGGCTCGTGCGGTGACAGTCATTGTTTGTGAGGAGGCTGTACAGGAAGACAAAATTATGCTATCGGGGCTCGAAATGTTAAGGACAAAGAAGGGAAGGCGTGGGTATGCCCTACCAGAGGAATGATGTTATCAAAAGTACCTGCGGTTCAAGCAGAAGAGAAAGTGGGGGGAGGGGGGGGGTTTGGCTCTATGATTAAATCGGGTTTAAGTAGCATCAAGACGTCATTGTTCCTATTGTTTTTATTTATACATCGATTTCGGTGTAATCGAAAGATGTCTGTTCTCAAATGAGTGTTCTATTTCTCGTTGCTCGTCCATTCGAGAATCAAGTGTTTTATAGTGGGGGAGGTAGTAATAGTAGTAATAAATAGTTAGGGAGAACTTAAAGTTATTAATGCCCCTGTGGCGCAATGGTAGCGCTGTAGATTTCTACTCTAAGGGTCGCGAGTTCGAATCTCGCCGGGGGTTTCGCGTTTCAATTTTTTTTTTTTTAATTTTTAATTTTTCCCCATCTTTTGCTTTTTATTTTATCAACTCCAAATCTCAACTGGATAGCTGAAATTAACCTGGAGATGAAGGAAATGTGGGCATGGTTGCTAATCCAATGATCATTTTACCTGGCGTTGAGAATCGACCTGGTCCTGACAACTGCCATTTTACTTCTTCATCTGGGAGGATTCAGCAATATGGATCGGAATACAGCTTCACAGTAATCCCCCTGGGATAGATTGGTTATCAACTTATTAGGATGGCACGGTCTCTGTTTCAACTCAACACTGAGTTGTATTGGTATCAGGAAACTCGCCGTTTGGCGCTACAAGGTGTCAAAGGGCGCGGTAATATACCTCAAACTACTTTGGTGAAGCCGATTTCACTCCTCCCAGCAGCATAAAAGGAGATGCCTATCCATCCATTTATTGATCCATTGAGCTGTCGAAAAGCAATCATGGACATCGAATTGGAGCTTGAGAACATCGAGTGGGACATTATATGCCCGACTGGGGGTATTCCCCCACAACCATTCCGAGTCATTATCCCTCAGGAAATCGCGCCTATAATAACCCCACGACTATATCTCCGGCAAACGCAAATGGAAGACGCAGAAAGTTTCCGTGATATTAAATCTAGCCCGGAACATGTGAAGTGGTCGTAAGCTAGAAACTCTCCCTATTCTTTTCTGACTGGCAAGGGAAAGTAACTAACTCAGCATGCAACAGGTATCCCTATAACCCAAATCCAACCATCGACGAGACCAAATCCTGGATCCGCAGTAAAATATTTACTGCCCCGGACCTTGCTGCGGGACGATGCTACCACTTCGCTATCATCCAACGTGATGACCCGAGTGAACGAGTGATAGGCGCTGTTGGTGTGAACCAGGTTTTACCTGTGCCTAATGTTGGCTATGGTGTCCATCTAGAGTTCAATGGAAAAGGGTATGCCACTGAAGCTTTGAAGGGAATACTTGACACCTGGTGGGCATTTCCTCGAGTGCCGGCTGGTGAGGGAACGGAAAACGAAAAGGGCAACAAAAGAAGAGAACTGGTCATTGCTCACTATAATAAGAAGAATCATGGAAGTGCCAAGGTGTTGGAGAAGTGCGGGTTTATGGTTTATAATGAACACCTTTACGACGACGGTTCTGTGGTGTGCTTTGCTGCTCTGCAACGGCCCGAGAGCCAGACAGAGTAGCCCCGATAGGCTCAAAAGAGGATTTACAGAGGTATCTTAATATCATTGTTGCTTAATTCGCGAATAATGAATAATATGATGATGATATTGAATATCTTTCCTTCATTTTCCGAGCAGCGACAGTCTGGGATATCCATTTACTTCAGATGTTCAGATTCATCCCACCACCACCTTACTTTGCAATTTCTATGAGTGAAAAGACCGTTATTTAAGCTGGGCGATCCTTCGCTACCTCCTGCAAATCCTCCATGACGCCCCTGAAGTCATCCAGCTCCAAGTGAAGCGCCAGCTCTGTATAGTCCTTGGTCCACAATCCAGGTGAGCCCCTCGGATACTGCGATCTAAATCCCAAGAAGCGCTGCGTGCGTCGGGACAGCTTCCTGGCTGTCTCTTTCTTCACAATAAACGGATGTGCCTCTGCGGGAGTTAGAAAGCTTGCACACACAGAGATCTGGATACAACCCCTCTCAGCTGTGGTCTTGTTCTCGCCCATCCCATGCACCACCTTGCCACTTATTAGCAGACAGTCGCCCGCCTTCATCACCGCTGGTATCGTCTGCTCTACGGTACCACGCTGATCAAACGGCCATTTATGACTACCTGGAATCACCCGGGTGGCACCATTACTTTCCGAGAAATCGGTGGTAGCGATCAAGAAGTTGATTTGGGATTCCGTGCCATCAGGCCCTAGCTGGACGTACGGCGGATAGGAGGTTAGATCGCGATGCAATATCTGTCCGTCTTGTGGACCACCAGCGTTGAGGGTTGTTGCTGCGGAAAGCCAGTAGTCGCCGACATGTCCCCCTTCGCTGTAGCAGCGCTTACAAATAGCGTGAAGGAAATCGTTTTCGAGAGCATGGTTACGGAAGGTGGCGCTGTGGTTGATCACATCCCCAGCACGTTTAGTTTTGCGGCCGTGGAAGGCTTGCAGGGCTGGATGCGGAACCACAGAGCCACGCTGTACGTTGTCAAGGACAGGAGCGAGCTCCTGGTTCATCTGTTCGACTTGTTCGGTGGTGAGGAACCCTCTGATAATAATAGCACCATCATCGTGCCAGTACTGGAAGACCTCGTCTAGCGGAGTGTCGACAGTGACACCCCTGAGACTTTTATGGCCATTGGACTCTGCGACCTGAGGGGTGTCTGTTGGAACCCGCCACATTGTGTTTTGATAATAAGAGTGATACTGAATTCAGGTAGATAGGTGATAGCTGAGCAGGGAGGACAGAAGAAAATGAGTTGCTCGGGATATATCCCTTTTGATACTAGGTTTTATGCTAGATTTTAGTACTAATAGAAGCCAATTCTGTTGGCATGAATGCCCGCCCGTACACGGATTCCGTATTCCACAGCTCATCGTTTCGCGGGTTCCGTTTACTTTTACCAACACGGGCCACTGTCTACTAGGGCAAACTTCGGAAATAAACATAGGGATTTTTTGGGTATTGCCCCTGAGAGTTGCACATGCATCATTTATTCTAGACAACGGGATCTAATAATTGCAAAGTGTCATGACTAGTCCTAGTTCCTCGCCATTCCCCATACTCTCAACCCACATGGCTGGAGAGCGCATTTCAACGACCAATTAAAATAATTTCCGACGATCCGTGAGCCTGGTTTCTCTGTCCGACATATAGTGCAGCATATGGGTCGTAATCCCCCTATTTAATTAGATTTGTATTCTGGGCCCAAGTCTACCCGTTTCAACCGTAGATGAAGCCCGTTCCCAGGCTTACTGGTTATGGCACCCTTTGGAACAACTTCTTTTTGGCTCCCGTCCAAAGCCCATTCAAATTGCATCGAAATAACCGCCAGCAGACATCGAAGCTCTGCTCTTGCAAAACCTTGTCCGATACAGCTCCGTGGACCGTGAATAAATGTTAAGAAATCATAGTTACTATTCGAACCCCCCAATGGGTTTAGCTTCTGGGAACCGCTCTCCCCGTTCTCGTAAGAAATCCACCGCTCAGGTTCGAATTTATCAGCTGTCGGACCCCATAATTCCGGGGACCTATTGGTAGCCCATGCTGATACAAGAATATCAGTGCCTTTAGGGATGTGGAATCCCCCTAACGTGGTATCGCAGATGGCCATTCGAGGAGTAACTGGAACGGAAGGATAGAGTCGCAAAGTCTCGTTAATGACCCCATTGAGATATGGCAGCCGGTCCAATAAACTAACGATATCTTCTCCAAAGACGACATCTGGCCCAAGAACTTCACGAACCTCCTTCCGTAGGGTATCCTGTCGGACTTGGTCAACAGCTAATAGATAGCACGCCCAAGACATGGTGATAGACGTTGTATCGTTTCTAAAAGATTAGTGAGTTTATATCCCGGGTCTAACTTCAAGGGTTTACCATGTGGATTTATCAATATATATAAATCACTCACCCCGCAAGCATATAAGTAATTAGTTCGGCAGAAATTTGGGTATCGGAGAAGTCCTTAGATTCGATCATTTGTGACAAAATATCGACATGTTGGCCGCCTTCCTTGATCGCCGTTCGCTTGTCCTCGACCAGCTCTATACAGGTCTTCTTTAGACGCGTCATCGTCTCTTCGAATTTCTGATTCATTCTCCAGGGTATCATTTTCAGCAGGCGCATCGAGAAGAAAACGGATAAGCTGAGATACAGTTGCATCTCTACACTAGGAACTACAACCACGTTGAGCAGTTGCACCGCTTTGTCGAATTTGGAGTCCTTGGATTCATCGAGAGCTTTGAATTCGCGCCCAAAAAGGGTCGTACCTATAATGTCTACAGTAGTATTGTCCGACCACCGAGTGAATTCCAGTTTCCCGCTGGGAGGGCCTCCTTGGTTGGATCCGCCATGCTGTCGCACAAGTTCGTTCTCTAAGGATTCTGCAAACTTTAGAGCATGGTTCCACATCAACGGGTACAGGTCTTTGACCGCGCGAAAGCCAAAGTGGGGCAAGCTTTTTTTTCGAAGATATCTATGCGTGTCGCCTTCAAGCGAAAATATCCCGCCGCCCGTCAGACTATTGAGTAAGGCACGTATGGGTTCTGGCTTCTGAAAATGTGCGGCACGATGTACAAGTAGCTCGGCTATTACGTGAGGCTTGGTAACTGCCAAACAAAATCCAGTTGCCTCCCTTAAAGCAATAACTCCATCGTTGGGTGTCTCTTGCGCTATCTTATACAATGCATTCGCTGAGGTTGTTCCTAGAATAAGCTGCCGATGTAGTTTTCGAGGCAACCACCACTAAGATTCAAGATATCAGCATGCAAGGACCCGAAAACGTGGTTGGTTGGAATAAATTGCGAAGATTAATATGCACACCTTGCCTCGTGGGATCCTTCGTAGGGGGCTGATAAATTCCGGATAAACGAGTGTCGAGTATACGAATAGGCAAATATAGTTCGCCGTAAAAATAGGAAAGGCGACCGTAAACATCCAGCCTGAGAAAGAGTTATAGTTCTTGATAAGAAGCAAAGACTCGATCCCTGCAAGTAGAGTTATGCTATGCAGCCCAATTTCTACCCTGCTCCACATGGTTTAAGTAGTTAACCGAAAGGTTATGGGAGCCTTGGAAGGTATGCACGTCAAGCCGTCCAGCAAACCTGAAACTGGAAGTTTCTCGGTTTACTATCACATTGGGTAGTTAGCAATCGAACTAACCGCTAGGATTCTTCTATCTTCAAGCACTTTAAGGATATGCTGTGGCGTTAATAGGCGATAAAGACCTGGGCTCTAAAGTCTAACTGAATCAAAAGGGGGGGTGACTCTGACAAATATGAAGAAGCTATTGCAG